CTCAGCCTGTAATCCCAGCACTTTGGGAGGCTGAGGTGAGTGGATTGCCTGAGCCCGCTGGTTCGAGACCCGCCTGGGCAACTTGGCGAGACCTCATCTCTACAATAAAATAAAAAATGAGCTGAATGTGGTAGCGCACCCCTGTAGTTCCAGCTGCTTGGAAGGCTGAGGCGGAAGGATCACTGGAGCCCAGCAGGTCGAGGCTGCGGTGGCCGGGAGCGGCCACTGCACTCCAGTCTGGGTGACAGAGTGAGACTCCAACTCAAAATAATAATAATAATAATAATAATAATAATAATAATGTACAAACAAGCTGAATACAAATTCTCGCTTTGCTACTTATTAACATGTGCCTCTCTAGCCTCAGTTTCTTCAGCTATTAAACGGGAGCCCTATCTCCCAAGGTTGCTGTGAGGATTTAGAGAATTAATATCCACCGAATGCTTAGAACAAGGGCCAGACACATGGCAAACATTCAATAAATGTTAACTCTTATTATTCTTAGAATATTTCTCAATCTGATCTTCTTAGGCCTAACTCCAACCTAGGACTCATTCATGAAACTAACTTTTAACAATAAAGATATGAAGAGAAAGGACTTTGGTTTGCCATATTATCACAAACTTCAAAGATCCACATCCCTGCTTCTATAACTCCAACAAATTTGTTTTTGTTTTCCTCTCATACGCCATGACCTTCTCAGGCTAGTCTACTCAGCTTTTATGGTCACGAAGAACCAATTTCACATAAGTCTTTCTATGAACTACAAGTGTTTTCATTCTTGTAAAACTCATTTGTAAATGTCTCCCATAAAACTTACTTCCTTAATGCCTGCTAAATTACTTTGTAATAGTTTAAATAGTTTTAAATGGTTATAGGTTCCACATCCTATGATATTAGTATAGTGCAGGCAAGAAATCATTCATGTGTGAAGTAAATTATTTTTCCTAGTTTATTTTGGTTAGAGGAATAATACTGGAAGAAACAAAGTATCATGCTCCATGTTAGTTTCCACATCAATAAAACACTTCCTCTTACAAAGTTTCTTAATATAAAACACTGGACTCAGGACTTGATTACAGTAATACTGAATGAATAAAAAGTCACAACTGAATGATGTTATCTGAACCTACATCAAACTAATCTAGGTTATCTGGAGGAAAGGCACTTCAACTGAGAAGCACATTTACCTTAAATCCAAAAACCAGTACATCTACCATTAAAGATTTAAAATAAAATGATTCACAAAATTTTAAAGAATTATGTTAAAATCAAAATTGAGAAGTTGATTTCACTAATTTAGAAAAAAGTAACCCAGGTGAGACTACTCAATAAGTCTGAGGGCTTAACTAAATGTATAAATGTAGTAAATTCTATATGCCACTATACCCTAAAATTTCGATTACATTCGTTTAATGATGGTCTTTTGCTTTAAACTATTTCCTATATACTTAATTTTTAAAACTGGGCTTTAGCTGGGCATAGTGACTCACAATTGTAATCCCAGCATTTTGGGAGGCAGAGGATTGCCTGAGTCCAGGGGTTCGAGTCCAGCCTGGGCAACTTGGCGAGACCTCCTCTCTACAATAAATCAAAAAATTAGCCAGGCATGGTGGTGCACACCTGTGGTTTCAGCGACTTAGAAGGCTGAGGTGGAAGGATTGCCTGAGCCCAGGAGGTCGAGGCTGCGGTGGCTGTGAGCATGCCACACTGCACTTCAGCCTGGGCAATAGAGCGAGACACTGAGTCAAAAAAAAACAAAAAAAAAATCCAGATAGTAAATATTTTAGGCTTTTCAGGTCATACACTGTCTCTGTCGTATATTCGTGATTCTCTTTTCCTTCTGATGCTTACAAATCCTTTAAAAATGTAAAAAGCATTCTCAGCACAGCCTCTATAAAAACAAGCTGCAGTCAGATTTGCCCTTGGATAGAGTTTTCCCACCTCTGCTTCACACTATACATATTTTTTTTTTTTGAGTTGGAGTCTCACTCTGTCGCCCAGACTGGAGTGCAGTGGCCGCTCCCGGCCACCGCAGCCTCGACCTGGGCTCTGGAGATCCTTCCGCCTCAGCCTTCCGAGTAGCCAGAACTACAGACACGCGCTACCACACCCGGCTAATTTTTTTATTTATTGTAGAGATGAGGTCTCGCCAAGTTGCCCAGGAGGGTCTCGAACCCGCGGGCTCAGGCAATTCACTCACCTCAGCCTCCCAAAGCAATGTCACTTTCTCAATGAGGCCTTCTCTGAGCACATTCCTAACTGTTCAAATATATATATGTGTGTGTGTATAATATATATAACATACTGTATAATATATAGTGTACCACCTAACAGACGTTTATTTATTATCTGTTCTTTGTCCTCTTCCCATATCTAAGTTCCATGAAGGCAGATTTTTAAAAGTTTTTTTTCACAGATGCTCTCCCGCACTAAACAGTTCCAGGCATGTTAGGAGGCTCTCAGCAAATAAGCCTACCCTCACACTTATAGAACAAATATAATTGAGGAAATATATATTCTATAACAAATGAAAAACGTTCAAGGGCAAGATTGACAAATACTTTGAAAATTCTTTCAGCCAAACACAGTGGCTCACACCTGTAATCCCAGCAGGTTGGGAAGCTGAGGCAAAGGGATTGCCTGAGCTCAAGGGTTTGAGACCAGCCTGGGCAACTTGGCGAGACCTCGTCTCTACAATAAATAAAAAAGTTAGACGGGCGAGGTGGCACACGTCTATAGTTCCAGCTACTTGGAAGGCTGAGGCTGGGCGCAGTGGCTCAAGCCTGTAATTCCAGCACTTTGGGAGGTGGAGGTGAGAGAATTGCCGGAGCCCAGGGGTTCAGGACTAGCCTGAGCAATATGGCGAGACCTCGTCTCTACAATAAATCAAAAACTTAGTTGGGAATGGTGGCATGTGCCTGTGTTTCCAGCTACTTGGACGGCCGAGGCGGAAGGATCACCTGAGCCCTGCAGGTTGAGGCTGCAGTGGCCGTGAGCATGCCACTGCACTCCAGTCAGGGCAACAGAGTGAGACTCCAACTCAAAAAAAGAAAAAGAAAAAAAAAAGAAAGAAAATTATTTCAAGTAGTCATAAAAATATTTTAAGCCGGGCTCGGTGGCTCAGCCTGTAATCCCGCGCTTTGGGAGGCTGAGGTGATGGATTGCCTGAGCCCGCGGGTTCGAGACCCGCCTGGGCAACTTGGTGAGACCTCATCTCTACAATAAATAAAAATCAGCCGGGCGTGGTAGCGCGCGCCTGTAGTTCCAGCTACTCGGAAGGCTAAGTCGGAAGGATCGCGAAGCCCAGCAGGTCGAGGCACTCCGGGAGCGGCCACTGCACTCCAGTCTGGGCGACAGAGTGAGACTCCAACTCAAAAAAAATAAAAATAAAAAATAATTTTAAATACAGGGGGCAAAAAGGTTAAAAAGTAAAGCATTTTCTTACTGTCCCACAAAGTGAGGTTAGTTCTCACCGTCTAATCTTTGAAGTTTACCATTACATGAGCTAATTTAATAGCAAATTTCAATTGTAATTGCTAGAGCCCTCTACAGACCTGTTTTGCCTTCTTTGATCTTACCAGTATGTGTTCCCAGCCTGTTTGACTCACTAATCTAGTCTGGCAACTTCAGTTTGGCAAGACAAAAACATTCCATTTTTATAAATTTCCTAATACTGTAATCTTTACTAAAGTCTCTGCTGTTTAATTAAACAAAACAAAAAGCTAGACTATTGAATGTTACACTTCAAATACATTATGCTCAGTGATTAGTCAGACTTAAAAGTTATTTATAGTTGCTATATGTGGTTTTACAAATACAATTATTACCTATAAGAGACAAAACTTGCTTTATTTGTAACTTTGGTATCTATCTGGCAAGTTACTGAAAAAATAACTTGGGAACTTAGTAAACTCCATCACTATTCCGATTATGGCTACTGCATTTTAAAGCTTTTATTAAAGAATAAAAACCCACTGAAAAGGAAAATATTTTCTACTGCTATCACTCACAAATTAATACTTGATAACTTAACAAATCACAGTACTAAATATACTAATAAATATTAATGTGGGGGTTAAGTCATACTAGAGATCACATTAAGACATAATAAAATCAGACTACAAAAATTGCTAATGTAGGAGGGAATAGTTACAAAAATGTTTTGAAACACTTTTATCAAACAAGTTACACATCCACTTTACTTTTTTCTTCCAATCATATCCTGCATACTATTTTACTTTCTAAATGACTACAATTCTGCTATTTTTCTCAAGCAAGCAACTTTGACCTCCAAAAGAAACTTTAAAATCCAAAAGTCTATTGCCAAGGGTTACAACTTGCACTTGTAGACCTTAGGCCAATTCTTTACAAACACAATACCATACTTCTAAAAATGCTAAGGTTGTAATCTGAAAAACAGTAGAATAAAGACTGCTCTAGGACCTTAATGTTTTGGTCGAGTCAAGTCTCACTGTCGCCCAGGCTGGAGTGCAGTGGCACAGTCTTAGCCACCGCAGCCTCAACCTGCTGGGCTTCAGACAATCCTGCCACAGCCTTCCAAGTGGCTGGAACTACTTGCCACCACACCCAGCCCCAACTAATTTTTTTTATTTATTGTAGAGATGAAGTCTCATCATGTTGCTCAGGCTGGTCTCCACAACAGTCAGGCAATTCTTTTGCCTCAGCCTCCCAAAGTGCTGGAATTACAGGGATCAGCCACCACGCCCAGCTCAGGACCTTAATTTTTAAAAATTATTTTTGACTGCTTTTGTGTCCTAAATTATCATAAAATCAGATTAAGTTTGGTGGAACTAAAACAGGGCAAACCTGTCAGCATTTACAAGAACCAAATTGATTCTCTTTTCTTGCTCTTATAAGTCAGGTGATTTCCAAATTATAATTAGTCACTTTTAACCATATACCCTGGAGAATAACATGGCCCAACACACCACACGTCCCACTTATCTAGTTTAAGCGAGTAAGATAACGTGAGAAACTGCACTGTGTAATTCCTTTATTTTCTGCATATTAGTGCTTTACCAACACTACAACCATAAAGAACACAATTCCAAGTACTGTACTTTTTAGTTTGGGGAGATCACATTCTACAAACTCATTTACTTATATTAAACAAGATTAACCTCATTCAAAACTTACTGCAGTTTATAAATTCACATAAATACAGAAATTGATGCAATTAAACAAAAACTTCAGGATCTTATTTTGATTCTTAGATTGTTATAATTTTTCTGCAGGCTACAATTACCTGCTCCATAATCACCAATGGTTGTCATTCAATTTAACTATATCAACTATAAAGCTTTTATATCCTTCAAGAAAACTTAAGTGAAAATTAACAATTTCTTACTAAAAAGTTTAGGGCTTTCCAAATTTCAAATATTTGCTTCCCCCTCCCCCCAGACATTTCAAATAAACTAAAAATGACATCTCACCTGCAACATTCAATAATAGCAATCACTTGATGTATAAAATTTTAACTATGCCCCCAGTTATTTTAAGACACAAAAAAATGGCTGCCTACCAATCTAACTGTCTTCACAAGTTAGAAATACTACATTTAAGAATTAACATGAGGGTTTCAAGTTTCCTCCAGTTTAGGCATTTATACCTTTGTGCTTGTTTTGTTTCAGGATGTTACTATAGCATTGATATTTGGATAACCAATGTTTATGTACCTTAAAATGGAATCACTTCAAACACTAAGAATTACATTTATGGTGGAGCTTTGGGAATCTCAAAAAGCAACCAAAATGTTCTTAGATGTGTGTATCAGCCTCGTTTCTAGACATATTTCTACTAAAGTGAAACTGAGAACTTTATACTTTAGTTGTATCTTGAAATCAAAAATCCCTCTGCACCAGCAGGAACCTACAACACAACCTTTTCTCATCTGCTTTAAGTAAAACGTTTGTCAAGAGTTTTACCTCAATACCCTTTTAACAGCCTTTTACTTCTCATACATCTTTGGTAAAAGCTCGTTGTACAATATGGCCAAAGCGCGAAGGTCCAATACTGTCCAACTATACCATGACATCCCGCTCGATTCTAGTTTCCAGACACCCTCATAAACAAAGCCCACTCCATCTTTTCTTTAGACTGCAAAGGCAATCTACCTCTCAGAAATTCCCTAAGTTTAATTCCTTGAGGATCGCTAAAATTAATCCTTAAGGCTATGTGAGAACCAGATGCTGCTTCACAATTCTGTATTGAGCATTTACATCGGGTTCAAAATATGATCATAGTGGTCTCAATCTAGTTACTGGTCCTAACCGGTTAACCAAGTAATCTTGTTAGGATCCGGATATCACCATGAGCACACTGCTTACCCTTGAAAGTAAGTTTACATTCACTGTCATCTGCAGGTTCTTTCTCCTCATCCTACTTTCCCTTTAACTGTCAACCCTCAAGTCTACACACCACTCATTCATCACATTTCCTTCCTTAAAGGAGACAGTGTACCTCTGAACCAACAGGATATCTGACTTTCTATTTGCATGAGTTAATCCTACAAACAAAATCAAATACCTTTTTTTATAAAACATATTTTCCAGTGTTCTAATTCATGGAGATGTGGATCACTCATGTATAAAAATTGACTTGTATATCTTCAGCTTAATCAGTTGCTACAATGTGAAAACAGGAATGTGTATTTTTTCAACTAGGTAAAAGATGCATATAATTTGAATTGTTAATGCTTTATTAATGAACAAAGCAAACCTGTCAGTAACTTTTAAATTACTGCTCTTCAGACATTTGAAACAAGGTAAAAGCATACATTCCAGTTTTGCCCAAAAGTCACTTAAAAGACCTCCAAATATTTCATCTGTATGTGGAAAACAGCATTATTGCTCCAATTTCTGGAAACATCTATTTTTAAAGTTAAAAAAGAGGAAAAACAGCAAAGTGACTAACTTTGCAGTGAAAAAAATGTGTCCTCGATGGGTCACACTTTCGTATTTGTATGCAGCATAAGTTAGCTATATTATGGGGAATTTGGATTTATTCCTACTCATGCATGATGTATGTTTCAGAACTTAATCGCTGACATTTCAAAGAACTTCTTACATTACCTGTTTAACATACTGATGTGCAACTGGAACATGTTACAATGTATTATTACTCATTATTTGCCACTGTGGGCTAAGTTTACTATACTGGTCTTAGAAAAGGTCACATTTGAAATTACTAAATTAAAGTTAGAACTCATAAGGGAAGGGGAGAGGCCTTAAATATAAAAGACAAACGGCAGTTTGATTAAGCAATAATTTTCAGTTTACTAGATGAAACAGACTTGCAACATAGTCTGCATGAATGCAAAATAAGCCATCTACAGCAAGTGATAAGGAAACTGGGCAAATAAGGAAAAAAGCATACATCGGAAAAAAAAAAAGATTCTCTTGAAATAAAAAAATCAAACCATTATTACAAAGGACTTTACCAAGAACTGCTACGTTTCCCCATTCCATTTTGCTGGAAGTCCACAAGCGCATCTAGCACTTTGTGTTCGTGTCAAATGTCAGATCAGAGCATCCTAACGCAAAGCCAAAGGGAAAAGAAAAAAAAAGAAAGAAAGAAAAGAAACAAAAGAGAACATCCCCCAGCCCCACCCCCCAAACCGTAGAACAGGAACTCCAGAGTTCAAACTCGAAAGAAGAGAAAGTGGCCATTGAAAGAGGTGATGGCGGCGATAATCCTATGAATGGGTTTTTGATCCTCTCCTTCCAGGGGACGGGTAGAGGACGCTCATTAGGATTTGTAGTTAGAGGTTAACCATGTGAGCCCCTCGTAGAGTCCGTCCCCCGTGGTGGCACAGGAGGGCTGCACATACCAGTTCCTGTCCCGAATCCGGGTCAGGCCCAGTTTCTCCTGGATCTCGTGGGGTTTCATGGCATCGGGCAGGTCCTGCTTGTTGGCGAAGATGAGGATGATGGCGTCCCTCATCTCCCGGTCGTTGATGATGCGGTGCAGCTCCTGGCGGGCCTCGTCGATGCGGTCGCGGTCGGCGCAGTCCACCACGAAGATCAGGCCCTGGGTCCCGGTGTAGTAATGCCGCCACAGCGGCCGGATCTTGTCCTGGCCGCCCACGTCCCAGACGTTGAACTTGACGTTTTTGTAAGTCACCGTCTCCACGTTGAAGCCGACGGTGGGAATGGTGGTCACCGACTGGCCCAGCTTCAACTTGTACAGGATGGTGGTCTTGCCGGCCGCGTCCAGGCCCAGCATGAGGATTCGCATTTCCTTGTTCCCGAAGATCTTGGACAGCACCTTCCCCATCGCGTCGGAGGAGCCGGGGCCGGGGGCATTCAGGGGCTCCGGGTCCCCTCCGCCAACGCCGCCGCCGCGAGACCGAAACGAAGCCCCCCCCGCCGCGAGGGCGCCCGTGCGGCCTGCGTGCGAGTCGCCTCCTCGGGGCCGGGGCCGGGGCCGGG